TTTCTTCTAAGTCCTTAGTTCAAAAGCAAAAATTGAAGTCTCCAGACCAGAAGGGCACTAAAACCATTGGTAAAAGAAGACAGAACTCGGAATCAGAAGTTCAAGTTCAAGTAAAAAAGAAAGCAAAAATTTATTCTCCATCTATATCTTCACAAATAACAGAGTCTAAAGATCCAGTAAAGGTGAAGAAAAAGATGCCTTCAACAGAAACCAAAGATGTATCTATCCAAATAGATGGAAAAGGGACTATAAAGGAAAAAAATGTGATGTGTTTCTCTTGTAATTTATTGGTTTCTAAAAAAGATTTGCATTTGCATTTGTTCTTTGGAAGTATAAAATGTAGATTTTGTTTTTATACAGTAAACACATGCACTGACTTTGCCAACCAAATGCTTAACCCTAATGGCTATTGCCAAAAAAGTCCAATGAAAATACATGGTATATTGCAGTGGGATTCTTGTCTTAATTATATATTGTTAAACGTGAAAAGAGAAATAACCGTCAGAAATTTCTGTAATGAAATAAAGGCTGTTCCAAATGAAATTGAGATTTGTGGTGAAATCACAACATACACAAAAGGTCTAGAATCTTTAGAACGAGTAGAACCTTGGAAATCTGCCTTTCTAGAGCTAATGGCATATTGTGACAAAGTTATGAGCAAACTAAAGCCCAAGAATTGTTGTTCTCTGAAACTTTTCAGAGAAAAAAAGAGTGAAATAAGTGATGGAAAATCCATTTCTGAAAGTAAATTATGTAGTGAAAAAGAATTGATCATTAGACGTAAATATCCTGATAATGATAGCATTTTAAAGACCAGTGAAGATTTAGCAGCTCCTGAAGAGAAAGATCTTTCACAACAGAACCAGTTGTGCTCATCCTACGTGTCTGCTAATATCACTGCAACTTCTGATGATAACAACACAGAATCAACTGAGATTAAGATGATTAAGGAGGAGGTAGATCTGATTAAGAGAAAAAGGCAGTACAAAAGAATTAAAAAAAAAGATCTGAGAAAAATTGTAAGATTACCCAGTGATGGTCGATATTTACTAGTTGATTTTCCCAATGAACAGTGTCCAGAAGAATGCCCAGATTGTTACTCTGGCTTTTATCCTTCAAATGTTACTTTGTATTGTTCCACAGGGGTTACAAAAGTTGTATGTGAAGTGTGTGGCCTTGTTATATTCATAGTACCTGACCTATATAAATATTCTAAATAAAGTTTTTATATTTATAGAATCTCGACAAATGTACCTTGATCTCCTTTTTTAATTGTGCAAGAGAAAGAAAGAATATATATTTTTAAGAAGACTGAATAGTTAACAAAATATATTCCCTATTTTGTTTTATAGGGTTTTAGACTTTATGTATATTTCCTGGATCTTGTTTCTTGAAATGTACTTTCTGTTGTCTGAAGGTTTCTAGGGTTATTTTTTAATTTGGTCCCTGTTTCATATGATATTTACTATTTCATTTATAAGATCTTCATGTGTCCTAGAATATAATAATATTTAGCTGGAGGATGATTATCTATTATAAATAAAAAAATATTTGGATTAGTCATCTTCTTTCTTTTTTAGTGCCTCTAATAGTTTAGTTCTATCAGAGTGAAATCAATAGCATTGTAGTGTTTAGTTTTTTTTTTCTGGATGTTAGCTCCATTTGCAGTTTGGGTCTGTTTCTAGTTTGTCTGTGAAGATGTTTTCTTAGTCTTTTTTATTTTGTCAGGTTTCTTCTGAAACATACATCTAGTTTTCCTTCATCTGATCTAGACCATGGTTCTGTTGTCTTTGAGGTGATGCTGTTTTATGATGAATTTTTTATTAAGCTGTTCTGCCCATTGTCTCTAACTCTTCTTTTATGTCTTTTTATTATGTTAGCATTGTGTTGTACCTGAGGAATTATTTGATTTGTGCTATTTTTGCTGCAAGGTCTGCAATTTCATTTTATATGCTAGGACCAATTATATTGTGACATTTAAGTTAGTTTTGTTAAATTGTAAATTTATTTTTGTATTTCAAATGTGATTTATTTGTAGGTTTTGGGTTTCTGGTTTTGTAGTATTAAGACTGAGGGGAGTGAAACTATAGATTACCATGTTTGTTTGTTTGTAAACTTTTATATATTTCAAACCCTGTTTTTTTGCATACAATTCTGCTTCTGTGATTTGTATATTTCTTGATAGCTTCAAAATTATTGTGATTTTCTTTTGTTCTATAAAGATGGCAGTTGTTGATGATTGAGGTTCTTTCATTTTTTTTCTCTGGGATTTTCATATTTTTTGTATTTATTAGTATTTGAAATTGTGTTCTAATTATTTATTGATAGAGGTCTTTTGTGAAATTATCCATAAACTCTGTTACTATTTTGTGGGGAAAGTCATACCATGATGGTATTGCAGTCATGTACATATATGTACATATCCCCTTAGTGAGCTGTGGCTATCGCTGTCATGATGTGTAAACATCGTGTATGTATGGATAGTATGGTTGTATGTAGTTAAATATATGTGTTTGTGTGTGTGTGTGTGTGTGTTGATATATACATATATAGTATGTGTAAATATATATATATATATATATATATATATATATATATATATATATATATATATATATATATATATATATATTATATATATATATTGTGTGTGTGTGTGTATTTGTGTGTCCGTGTGTGTATTTGTGTGTGCGTGTGTGTGTGTGTGTGTGTGTGTGTGTGTGTGTGTGTGTGTGTGTGTGTGTGTATGTATGTATGTGTGTGTGAGTGTGTGTGTACTGTACTAGCCTCCAGGCTAGTACAGTGGTAACGTGTCGGCTTCTCATCCGAGGGGTCGGCGGTTCGCACCCCACCCAGGCGCGAGAAGTTGTAATTGTCGCCCAGAGGT